ACACACACACACACACACACACACACACACACACACACACACACACACGTGCATTTGCCAGATGGGCTTGTGGGGAATTTCTATGATTAGAGAACATTTATACTTTGATTTTTATTTTATTTTTGTTTAATTTTTAAATTTTTCTCTCTAGGAGTGTGGTCTCTGGGTGATGACGGATGCAAACCTTGTAAAGAATAACATTGATGGTGTTTGTAAGTGAAACCTGACAACATACCTCACTAGTTGTATAATATTACCCGCAATGGGACAGGTACTTTCTGGTTCAGTATGACTGCTATGTGCAAAAGAGTTGACTTAAAATGTGTAGGAATGTGTAGATTATCTGAATAGGACTTGAGCATGTAGAGATTATGGCATCTGTCCAGGATGCTGAGGGTAAGGAGTGGAGGACACCACCTATTGTATCCTTGGCTGAGGGTCTTCTACTGTTTCACCACAAGAGAGACTTAAACTCTCAATAATAGGTTTGTCTCCTGGCAGCTACCCAAGTGATGGACATTCATTTTCTCCTGTTCTGTCTCGGAGTAAGTAGCCGCAGTAGGGGTCAAGATGTTCTTGGCCATTTTTAGATCACGCTGAGGAGACGATTTGCCGATGGTTTGAAGTTCAAAATCATCAAGCACCACTTTCAGCAATCCCTAATGTCACCAATTCCCCTTTACATCTAGAGTACTATGTCTTAAGTTTTGATACCCTTAGTATGTGAAAGTCCATCTAACTTTATTATCTTTTGATCACTACTATTCACTACTATACTATCCATATAGCATATTGTTTAAGTAGCTCAAGATGCTTCACTCATGCTTGGTGCCTTGGTATTTTCCGTTTATCTTATCCCTTAGATAGTGATGAATTATACCTACCATATGAAAGGCAATGGGTGTCCGCCTTGGGCTAAGGGGTTGGAACAAGACACAAAAAGGCTGTGCCAGGGCCGTGATGGGGTTACAGCATGCAATAGGAGTACCGAAGGGTGCCCAGGGGCAGAGCAGAGAGCAGAGTTGTCTCTTAAACTTTTTTAAAGTTTAAGCTTTTTGTTTTGTTCATTTTTAAAAATAAAAAAATTGAAATTATATAATTTTCCCTTTCCTTTCCTCCCTCCAAACCCTCTTATACAGCTCTCCTTGTTCTCTTTAAAATTCATGACTTTCTTCATTTTATGTATATGTATGTGTGTGTGTTTATGTATTCCTAAATAAATAAATACAACCTTCTAAGTCTTTATAATGTTACTTGTGTTTATATGTTTTCAGGGCTGACCATTGGTACTGGATCACCAATTGGTGTGCTCTTCCCTGGGGAAGACTGTTTCTCCTACTCTCAGCATTTCTTAGTTGCCTGTAGTTCTTTGTGTAGGGCTGGCACCTCCTGGGCTTTCCCTGTCCATATTAGCATGTCCTTGTTTAGCTCATGTTTAGGCAGATGTATTGGTGAGAGTACGGAGTAACTTCTGACATTCCTAGAAGAAAAGACACAGTCTTACTCCGTGTTCCTCTGGGTCTTACAATCTTTTCCTCACTTCTTTCTAGAGTGGCTGGACCAGTCTACAACCCCACTAACAGTGGCTGAGGGTTTTCCACGATATCCCTTCCATTCTGACTGGAATAAAATGAAATCTCAAAGTTGTTTTGATTTTTCACTTCCATAATTGCTGGGGACAATGGACATTTTTCCTGAGGAATTTATTAGACTTTTTTTCCTCTTTTGAAAACTTTATTCAAGTCGCAGGCCCTGGAGTCGGTCAATTGTGATTTTGAATCTTTGTGTCTTGTTCTTTGTATTTTCTGGAGATTCTCAGTCAGATGTATAGCTGTTAAAAGTTCTCTCCTATCCTGTAAGCCTCCTCCTCTTCACCCAATTGTATTTTTTTTTTCAGTCATGCTGAAGATTTTCAGTTTTATACAGTTCCACTTGCCAACTGTTGGCATTCCTTCTTAGGCAGATGGAGGTTCCTAAGGAAGTCAGACAGTCTTCCTACGTGTATTTCATATAGGACACTATGTTTCTTCTAGCAGTTTCAGGTCTCACAGTTAGGTCTTTGATCTAACTTTGGTGCAAGGTGATAGATGTGGATCTAATTCATTCTTTTCATGTGAACATCCAGGTTTCCCAGTTTTATTTGGTGAAGATGATTTCTTATGTGTGTGTGTATATATATGTATATATATATATATGCACACATATATATACACACACATATATGTATATATGTATATATATACATATATATACTTTTTTTGCAGCTTTGTCAAATATGTTGAGATATGTTCCCTCTAGTCCTACATCTCTAAGACTTTTATCAGAAAGGCACATTTGATTTTATTATGGGCTTTTTTTTTTTTTTTTTTTTTTCATTGTTGAGATAATCATGTGGACATTGAATGCATTGCTCCAGGCCTTTCTGGCTTAGGAAGTTTCTGCTGGGAAATTAGCTGTTCTTTTGATGCTTTATCCTTGTTTTTACCCTTGCAGCTTTCAGTCTTCTTTGTTTAGTCTATATTCTCAGTGTTTTAACAATGGTAGCTGTGGGGATGTTCTTCTCTGGTCTTTTCTCTTTGGTATTCTGTGTGCTTTTTGTATCTGTATGGGTATATATTTCCTTACGTTGGAGGTGTTTTCTTCCATGACCTTGTTGAAGATCTGCTCTATGCTATTGACTCAGAATTCATGCTACTCAGAAGCAGAGTAGATGTGTTTCTTAAATATGTTTTAAAATTTTTAGTTAAAGATATTTCAGGTTCTTTGAGAATGTGTTTTGACCATTATCTTCCCTCTCCAAGCCCTCTCCTATCCACTCCCTTCTCTACTGACCTGCCCAATGTTATGTCTTTTTTCTCAGGTCTGTGGCTTTGTACTGGAGTGGTTGCCTCACCAAAGGGTCCACTGCAAGAGCCATGAATGGTCTTAACGGCTGATCTCTTCAGCTCTGTTATAATGTGTGCGTGCGTGTGTATTTCAAGGAAGCTTCCAAGGTAGTAGCAGGTTTCCATTTGATTGAGTGATGGTTTGTGTAATTTCTCCATCTGCCTAATCCTTCTTCTGTCTTGTCTTCCCACACCCCACTGTGATTTAACCTTCACGTTCCATTTTTCCCCTTTAAGCCTTTATGCCACTGCTTCTTCCCCCTTCAAAGTGCCCCCGGTACCCTTGCACCAATTTCCTGACCTCTGTGTGCATTCCAGATGAAACATACACATCTGAAGATTCAAAGCTAACATCCGAAAATGAGAGAAAACGTGAGAGAAAGCTGTCTTTGACGCTTTCATATCTGCCTGGCTGCCAGCTGTAATCTTGATTTCCTTGTCCACTGCCTCCTAAAATATTTTTTTTCCAAACCATTTTTTTTTTCATATCGATGCCAGAGTTAACATTACAAAACGTGGGTTACTTTGTTTTCCTTTATTTTAAACCTTGGTGCTCATAATTTACAAAATGCAGTTCAAAGCTGTTAGTATGATTTGAATATTCAACATCTGAACCCATTCATTCTTTCTTCTCACCGATGCCATTGTTACCAAATACTTACTGTCGTATTCTGGAGATGGATTTGTACTTGGATCAGTTTTCTTTTCTGCACAGGATGCCCTTTATCTTAAGAGTTAAAGAAAATGGAATGCCAGCAACTCACTGCCAAAGGAATAGTTATTTTCTACTGAAATTCTTTTCAGCTTTCAGATTCCTTGTAAATTTAAGTATTTTCTGTTTAACAGACCTTCCGTATTATCACCCCTCTATGTTCATTGCAATTTTTATCCTTTTAAAAACATAACCCTTTCTTTATTGCTTTTCCTGAGACTCTTACATTAACACCATAATATAAAACAAAGTAAATTTTTTGTATAGGCTTTAAAGGGATTGCATTCTAGTCACCTTCATAGCCTAGGTACCTACTTGGTACCTACACACTATGGTGTTATTTTCTGATTTTAAATTAAAAAAATTGAGACAGGGTTTTTGTACATAGGATTGGCTTTCTTGAAAATTACTGTGTAGACCAGGCTGGCCTTGAATTCACAGAGATTCCGCTGCCTCTACTTTTTGAGTGCTGGCATTAAAGGTGTTCAAATCCACGCTGGCTCATATTTTGCAATAATTTTAGACTTACAGAGAGTGAAAAAAAAAGAGTTAGATGACCCAAAAGTCTATATGTACTTTTTAATGCAAAATGAACTGACTGTAATGGCTCAGCCTGAAGAAAGCTATCAAGGAGCTTTTGAAGAAGTGTATAAAAATCAGAGGAGCATTTAAAATGTGACTTAACTTAAATTGATATAATAATTTAATAACAATATAATAATTTTAATGAATTAAAATAAATTAGGCAACCCTAAGTTTTCAGTTACTGATCGTTGGAACAGAGAAGATTGAGAAAACATTTTTAGCTCTGAGGTCATTGTCCATGTGGTTTTGGTAAATCAGACCAAAAGTCTGTTGTCCAGGCTTCTTCTTCAGAAAACAGAGAGCTGAACAAGATGAAATCTTAACTTCATTCTGCTGCAAGGTTGAGGGTTCTGGGAGACATGCGCAGTTCTTTCTCTCTGGTGCCTTTTCTTTCCTCACTATTGGCATCGTTTATTGCAGATGACACCGCAGAGTACGCTGAGCGGTTTGTGGAGGAAAATGACATGAACCTGGTTGATTTTCAAGACTTTCCTTCAGTCAGCAATCCACACGTCAGGAAGCATTTTCCAGAAACCTGGGTTTGGCTGGACTCCCACATGAGGTAAAGATCTGTAGAGGTCTTTGTCCATTTATGTTTTGCTTAGAGTATGCTTTGAATAATGTTTTCCTACTTTCCAGCGTGTTTTAAGCATAAATGTTGTGTATCACTGAACTAAGCAGATCAAGGGGTTTAGGTTTAGAAGGGTGGGTGATTGGCTGTAATGTTTGGGGTTTAGAATGATGGTGATTCCCACTAACGGTAGTGTTTGGCAGAATCACGTGCAGATGGTGGCCATAAAGTGTCATCAAGGAAAAGGCTTTTAAATAGGATGGGTGAATTAAACTTCCTTGAAGTTTCCTGGTTTCTGTTGGAGGAAAACCCATAACAGAATAGATAGGGACCCAGACAAAACCAAACACCCACAAACTTATCTGTAAATTAAGAGATGAATATTTTAAGTAAAGCTTGAAATAAGATATGATAAACATAATGAAATCTATACACCTAAAGAAGATAAACAAGAAAGAAGACCTGAGGTAAGATGATCAATCTTTACTTAGAAAGACAAATTGGATGGGCACTGGACGTAGGAGAAAACAAGTAACAGGACAAGAGCCTACCCCAGAGGGCCCCTGAAAGACTCTACCTAGCAGTGTGTCAAAGCAGATACTAAGACTCATAAACAAACCTTTGGCAGAGTGCAGGGAATCATATGAAAGAAGGGGGAGTTAGTATGACGTGGAGAGGATAGGAGCTCCACAAGGACCAAATATATCTGGGCACAGGGGTCTTATATGAGACTGTTTCTTCAACCAAGGACCATGTATGGAAATAACCTAGAACCTCTGCTCGGATGTAGCCCGTGGTAGCTCAGTAACCAAATGGGTTCCCTAAGTAAGGGGAACAGGGACTATTTCTGACATGAACTCAATGGTGGGCTCTTTGACCTCTCCATCCCCCAAGGGAGGAGCAGCCCTGCTAGGCCACAGAGGAGGACTTTGCAGCCAGTCCTGAAGATACCTGATAAAACAGGGTCAGATGGAAGGGGAGGAGGTCCTCCCCTATCAGTGGACTTGGAAAGGGGCAGGGAGGAGATGAGGGAGGAAGAGTAGGATTGGGAGGCAATGAGGGAGTGGGATACAGCTGGGATACAGAGTTAATAAAATATAACTAATAATAAAAATAAAAAAGTATTTTAAAAAGTTTGTGAAAATATAGTAGTTAATTGAGAAGGTACGAAGTTTGTAGAAAGATTTTTTTTGGAGTGTGCAAAGTATGATATTACAAACTTTCTCTTGAGAAGTTGAAATGCTCAGCTATTTTAAACAGATGTAAGTGATGTAAATATGAAAATTAAAACTTTTCTAATGATTGTTAGTTATGTTGAGTTATTGGAGATTGTGAGAAATCTTGGTTCTATAATGTCTGCATTTGTCTTGACTACAGATCCAACGTTCGCCAAGACTTTGAAGTTACTGTCCCCGATTCCATCACTTCTTGGGTGGCTTCTGCTTTTGTGATCTCAGAAGACTTGGGTCTTGGGCTAACAACTGCTCCAGCAGAGGTAGAAAGAATACTGGCGGGGGTGGGGCGGGGCGGATCAGAATTCTAATGAAGTGAGGCTCAGAAAATGATTGACTATCTATCCATTGCTTTACTGATCATGGTTTACTGTGACTTTGCGTTTTTGCCTTCATCTGTGTCCACATCTTTGAAAAATTATTATGGTATTATTATTTATAACTTTATTTATTTTAATTTCTGTGCATTGGCATTTTACATATGATGACACATATGTCTGTGTGAGGTTGTTGGATCCCCTGGGACTGGAATTATAGACAGCTGTGAGCTGCCATGTGGGTGCTGGTAATTGAACCTGGGTCCTCTGGAAGAGCAGCGAATGCTCTTAATCACTCAGCTCTCTATTGATTATTATTATTATTATTATTATTATTATTATTATATTATATTATTGTGTGTGTGTGTGTGTGTGCACGCACACCAGAGCACACACATGGGGCTCAGAGGGTAACTTTGTGGAGGCTATTCTCTCGATTTACATTTACATGAATTCTGGGAAGGGGAATTTAAGTCAGACTGCCAGGCTAGACCAGCGGGCACCTTTACCCACTGAGCCATCCTGCTGGCCTTGTGTTAAAATTTTGAATCTAAGTTATATTAAGTTGATAGATTTGGTCATAGGCTAAAAATATTATTACTTAAACATTTTTACTTTTTACCTTCCAGGTTTTTATTTCATTCTTTGAGGCAGAAGTCTTTTAGTCAAATCAGAAAATGCAGACCTTGTTCTTTTGAAAACGAGGTCTTCAAAAGAATGCCTGTGTATAAACTCATAATGTAAGAGCGTGGTGTGCACCAAGTGGGGCTCAGTTTAGTGGGCCCACATTTTCTGTCTTTACTGTAGGTTATACTCAGTGTTCAAAGTTTTTATTCACAGAAGGAAATACTAGAGTAAAATTGAATGTTTTGTAAATGGTGCTTATTTTCGGAAATAATAAATGCATATATATAGGCAGTTATCATTAATTAAGGTAAATGAATCACACTCTGCTAATAACATTCAATAATTCATGTAATACATCATAAGTGTATCTAAAATATTCAAATTTAGGTAGTATAATATTTTATACAATTTCTTACATTGAAATTTTAAGTCACGATTTGCCTAATTTGCCCTTTTCAGCATTTTGTAAGCCTTAATTTGCCTTATCACTTATTTGTAGACATTTCTTCCTAATTATCTAACTCAAGTGATTACTCTCATACTTATTATTTCTCAAAATTTCAATATTGAATTAATTTTTTAATTTTATTACTAGATATTGGTCACTACCTTCTCCAGGAAAAAGTTCCATATTATGATCAATTTAAGATAATTCAAGCATTAATATGTTATGCATGACTTTGTCGATAAGCAATACTATATATGAAATGAATTCTTTTATAAGCAGAAATTTCCTTACTCATTGCTGGAAACAGAAAACCGCATATCATTTTTATTATAATTTACTTGTAAGCTTGTAGTAATAGAGAAAAATTGGCCTTTTGACTAAGATCAAGGGTAACATTTTAAAATTTTATGTATATGAGTGTTTTGCCCACATCTATGTTTGTGCACTGTGTGTGTGTCTGGTGCCCAAGGAAGCAAGAAAAGGGTGTTAGGTTTCCTGAAACTGGAGTTGTGAGCTGACTTGTGAGTGCTGGGAGTCAAATCTGGGACCTCCATAAGAGCAGAAAGTGTTCTTAACCTTTGATTCATTTCTCCATCCCTTGTTTGGGTTATTAAGTTTACTATTGACCTGATGGACTAACTTACAATGGACAGATTACTTCAAAGATGAGCACAATTTCTCAAGGGGTCTCCCAGAAGACATTGCTTCATGTCTGTGCTCAAATTTCCTCACCCTTTGTTCCTAGTTCCTAATAGGAATACCAGGATCATGAATGGCCTTAGTCCAATAGCTATCACTCCTATTATACCGGAAATCCACTATACCAAATATTTTGTGTTGCCTTCTTACTAGTTCTAAGTGAAATTTGTAGAAATAAAAGTGCTTTGGGTTTTATTATGGAATTTTGGTGGAAGCCCAGGTCAATAAACAGATGGTTTTAATAGTGTGGGTATCTAAGCAAATATTCAATATCTATATAGATACCATGGCATCTTACATTATATGATCTGTAGAGTCATATGCACCTAGTCATGTTACAGTGTCCCAAATAACAAACCACATGCTCGTAATAAATACATCAAGAATCATGAGGAAAACAAGACAGTAGTTGCTCATTGTTTGCGACAACCCTACTTACTGAAGAACTTCACTTCCCAAAGTGCCACGACTGTTCTTCAATCACCGAGATAATCTAAAATGTTCAGTCTGCAAATGTCCACGTAAGGCTGGCAGGCTTGTCCAACCTTTTGACATTATGAGATGGTGTTGCTCTCTGCAAAGTTCACACTCGAGAAATATGCAATCAAATTACCCTCACGCCCTGCTTAATTTTGTATTGGGCCACATTCCGGTTGGCTGTGACATCAGGTGGCCCACAGGGACATGGGTTGAATGTACCCACTAGAGGGACTTACTTCTGCTATTTTGAGACCACTGGCCTAAAGTAACCAAGTTAAGTTCAGGCAGGGGAGGGGGCGTGGCCTCTCCTGTAGGTCTTGACAGTTTCAGAGTTGGGTTACATACACGTGTGTGTGTGTGTGTGTGTGTGTGTGTGTGTGTGTGTGCGTGCGTGTGCGTGCGTGTGTGCGCGCGCACGCACGCGAGAACACATGTAGGCAGAAGATTACTGGGCTGGCCACACTGACATTTCCCCGTGTGAGTCTCAAACAGGTGCTGTTTGATTGGACAGTACTTTTGATGCAAATCGTGGAGTCAGTATAGCCTAAGGGAGCAGCAGCTTCTTTTGGTGTCAGAGAGAATGGAATGTGCCTCTGGCACCCTCACTTGTAGTAGTTACAGAGACTTCGGAACACCATTTAAAAAAAATAAAATAGGAGCACAGCACCCTTATGGGGGTATAATGATTGCATGAATAATTTATGATGTGCTTACTAGGTCCTTAATACAGTACAGTAATTACTATGTTAAATATCAGTCAGGTCAGCTTGCCACCATTAATTTGGTGTAAGCTGTTGATGGGTGAGGGCTGATCGGCAAGCAGATACCTCCAGGTGTTAACGGCTGTAAAGGTTCTGTGGATGTTGGTCTTACATATAATGTGAAGCATCTTTCTCTGAACCCAAACATGTATTCATTATGTTCTTTCTAGCTGCAAGCCTTCCAACCATTTTTCATTTACCTGAATCTTCCCTACTCTGTTATCAGAGGTGAAGAATTTGCTTTGGAAGTAATCATATTCAATTATTTGAAAGAAGCCACTAAGGTAATACGTTTAGATTTTGTTGATTATTTACACTCATTGATTGGTTGCATAGTAAGTACTTGAGCATCAGGATAACTAAGCATCTTTAAACCATCTTAACCATTTTTTTGGCTTATATATGTTCCTATTGGTTTTTATCCTTTTAACTTGGTAATTTGAACTGTTAAGGGAAATGTAATTTACTCTTTGACAATTTCATAATATAGCCACATTAACTTCACCCTCTTTCAGTCTTCTTCCTCTTCTCTCAGTAGGTTCCTCTTCCCGTATCTATGTCTTTTTCTTTTTCTTTCCTTCTTCTTTCTTTCCTTCCTTCCTTCCTTCCTTCCTTCCTTCCTTCCTTCCTTCCTTCCTTTTTTTTTTGTACTGTGGCCAATTTGCCTTTAACCAGGGCCATCCATATGATCATGTGTGTGGTTCACCAATCGCATTCTAGCGGTGGCACCAATGAAGACAATGACTCTCCTTCTGATAGCTTCTCAAGGATGGCTGGACCCTTTGAGGTCCAAGTGTTGCCATGGATCTCTATTCGTTGCTTTGTCCGAGGCTGAGAACAGCACTAGAGTGGGCCTTAGATGTAAGCAGAAGGCAGGTGTTTGCCACCACGACTGTGTTCCATATTGCGCCAGTGGGTATTTCTTGCCTGACAGATTGGGGTTGTAGCATGCGAAATCCACACATAGGTAAGACCATTGATAATTATTCTCCCAAAGTTGCCCAAGTAGCAGATTTTGGCATTAAGAGGGCTAGTCAACAAGGGGGAAGCTTCTGGTTGAGTTGTAGCATGATTCGCCTTAGTAGTATAACTAAAGTATGTGGTATCTTCAGCAATAAGGTCTTAACCTCTGGTGGGCAACCAAAACAATGGCAATAACATGGGGGTCCTTTGAGCCCCTTTGACTGACAACTAACAACTCCCTGACTAACCGACATAGGGAAGACTCACGCATCTGACACTCCTCCATGCATTTTGCATTTTGCTGGGAGACTGAAAGTCTACACACTCTGATAGTGATTTCTTCTGTTAACTAACATCTGGGTATATCATTAGCATGTATATGCACATTCTCTTAGTTTTCCAGTACAGACCCTTCCGTTTTGCCAGGGAACTTCCTTTGGGCCTTGAGGATATGCCTTTCTTCCTTCCACCTCCCTGCATTTCTTTCTGGCCTTCTTCCATATCTAGAATGTGGTTTTTCTTCTCATTACCATTTTGTACCCACTGCAGCTGGTAAGAATTTATTCTCCCTGAGGTAGGTTGCAGCCAGGATTCCTTTCCCAAGGAACCTCACCCGCTCTGTTATGTTTTTAGTTTCCATGGTTATTCCGTATATTATGTTTTCAGGGAAATATTTTGTGAGTCATATTCCTGTATCCTTAAGCAGTCAGTTTGCTGCAAGGCAAGGATTGGGACTTAACTACTGTTTGTGTTGCATTTAGAGTTGCATTAGCCAAATGGTTTAGTTTTCCTCCCTAAAGTAAGTAGGCAGAGGCTGATAACTTTATTTTATGAAATGCTATAATTTCTTGGAGTGTATACATCTGCAGAGTAGATCAGAATTTTTACTTACTTTTTCTTGGTGTTGGAGATTAAATAGGCACAAGTCAGCCACTGAGCTAGGTATGCTTTTAGCGCCATTGTTTTGTTTGTTAACTGCTTTTCAGTGTGGTCAGAATGTGACTGTGTTACTGACAAGATCCAACCAGACACCCTAATATTGAGTTTACTGCTCACTAGCAGATAACTTAATAAGGTGATTGCAGTTTCTCTAACTATCTTATGAGAATCATTATTATCATGTGAACAAATTATTGTGAGGAAATAATTTGGAAAATACTTTGTGAAATGTGAGGTCCATGCTGATTGTGGTGGGACACACAGTCCTTGGGAGGCAGGGGCAGAGGGGATTGTTGCAAGTTTGAGGCTAGCCTGATGGACATGATGAGTTCCAAGCCAGCTAAGGGAGCTCTAAACAAGTGGTTCTCAACTTTCCCCATGCTGTGACCCCTAAATACAGTTCCTCATGTTGTGGTGCCCCCAACCATGAATTCTTTTCATTGCTACTTTATAAATGTAACTTTGCTTTTATGAACCGTAAGGTAAATATCTGATATGTAGGTGGTCTTAGTTGACCTCTGTGAAAAGACTGTGTGATTCTCAAAGAGGTTGGGGCCCACAGGTTATGAACTCCTGCTCTAACCCCCCCCCCCACACCTCTGGGAACAGTAATGTGCATCTTTAATCCCAGCACTTGGAGTCAGAGGCAGAGAGGCAGAGAGGCAGAGGGGCAGAGGGGCAGAGAGGCAGAGGGTCAGAGAGGGACAGAGGGTCAGAGAGGGGCAGAGGGGCAGAGGCAGAGGCAGGCATAGCTCTGGTCTCCATAGCAATTTTCAGGCATGCCAGGACTACATAATAAGACAAAGCAAAGCAAAACAGAACAAAACAAAGCTAAATTAATTGAAACAAAACTAGACTAAACTAAACAACTAAACTAAACTAAACTAAACTAAACTAAACTAAACTAAACTAAACTAAACTAAACTAAACTAAACTGCACTGCAAAAAGCTCAAGCCTGGAAGAATACTACTTAAGGAGAGTAGATACTTTGGCATTTTAATAAAAGTTTGTAAATATGATATGCTTCAGAACTAATTTATTAACCATAATTTTCACGGAATAAATTTTTGCAGAGACTCTCAGTAGATAAAAACAGTATTTTAACCTGTTTGTCTCATGCTTCTCTAATGGGACCTGTGTCTCCTAAGATGTCACAGTGAAGTCAGGAGGTGGTGAAACTGATATTTGAAGTGACCTTTTTGTACAGTCCTACTACTCAATGGCTTTGTGTAATGAGAAAGATTAGTGGAAGGACTGTAAATGAAGACAAAAAAATGCTTTTCCCCAGATATATCTTGAGATAGAAGAGGTATGCATATAATAAACCTGTTTTCTCTGATTTCCTTTTCAAGTTTTCCCCTTCTTGGCCTCATCTTTGTCCTATTTTTTTTTTTCTGGTTCTGAGTCTCATACTTGTAACAGCACTTAAAATAGCGATAGAATTTACAGAGACCATTTTATTATTATTAATATTATTATTTTATAGAAAACTTTCGGGTTTCATTTTTTTTTCCTCCCAGGTCATAGTACTCATCGAGGAAAGTGACAGCTTTGACATTCTAATGTCTTCAAGTGACATCAATGATACCATATACCGGCAGACTATTGTAGTTCCCAGCGAGGATGGGATTACTCTGCATTTCCCTATCAAGCCAAGAAGCTTGGGAGAAATTCCCTTCACGGTGAAAGCTGCCTCACATGCTGCTTCTGACACTGTCACCCAGACAGTTTTAGTAAAGGTAAATATTTGGGGTTTAGATGGTTACAATGGAAACAGAATTGGAACTGAAAAACAAACAGGAGATGGCGCTTGTGTCGAATTTGTCAGTAATCCTAAAATGCCCTCTTCTCCACTCACCTGCTAATGCCTAGTTGTTGTCTCATCTGTGTGTAAAAATGTAATACACATGTTATAAAAATATTGCCATTTCCCTCTTTAAATTTGAGCAGAAGCATGACTATTATGAAGATCAATTATTTTTAAGTAGTCATTTACACTCACAAACTGTGTTACATTGGGATCCTGTTGGATCATGGTCAGGTTGATAACATAGAGTAGGGCATTTTGGAACTTCTCAAAGTAGATTTTGTAGACTGTTATTTTGAGAGGACATTGTTTATAAAAACACAGCTCAGCACAGTGATGACCACTCTTGTTCTGGGACGGAATTGCCTTGGATTTCAATCTCTGTCTAGTTAGTGATTTCAGTTGAGGTACTTAGCGATTCTGTTTGGATAACAACAGATGAATCTATTCCCCTAAGGTTTTCTCTGTCATGTTTTCACCTTTCCCCCTTGTCATTCCCATTCCCATTCCAGTTCCATGAAATGCTTTCTTCTTAGCTAGAAAGTAAACGCCGAACATGTTTGAAGTCAGAATCAGGATATGGTAGGTGGTAGGTAGGTAGGTTGGTAGGTACTGAGCAGCTTTGTCTGTAGCAGACTAGATATTTGTCTTCATATCTGCACGCAGTTCTCTGTTAGCAGATAAGCAGATGCTGTGCTGTGTTCCTTTTCCCACAGGCTGAAGGGATAGAAAAGTCATATTCACAATCCATCTTACTGGATCTGACTGACAACAAAGTACAAACTATCCAGAAAACATTGAATTTCTCATTTCCTCATGATACAGTCAATGGCAGCGAAAGAGTCCAGATCACAGCAGTTGGTAAGAGTAGTGTGTGTCGCCACATACTGGCTGATTTGCATTCGATAATATATTTTTCATCTACTTATAGCTGTGTTTTCTTACTTAGCCCCAATGGGAAGAGATTGTGAAAGGCGTCAAGGGCTGGAATTTAGATCAGCACTTTTCAGCATGGAGCATGCATGTGTGTGTGGTGGTCTCACTTAACATGAAGTTCTGATTTAGTATGTCTGGGGTGAAGCTGATCTTGCCCTTCTTCTTTCCTTCCTTCCTTTCCTCCCTCCCTCCTTCCTTTCTTCCTTCTTCCTTCCCTCTCCTCCTTCCTCTCTCCCTTTATCTTTCTCTCTTCTTCCCAAGATGAAACATTGGGCTTTGCACTAGGGCTAGGTAAGTACTTTACCCATGAACTATGTCATTGTCTTTTTGTTTTATGAGAGAAGGTCTTGGTATGTAGCCCAGGCTGGCCTTGAAATCCGTATCCGTGAAGCTCAGCATTTTTGCAGGGATTATGGGTATGCATCACCAAGCCTGGCTGGAAGCTTTGATTTTTCTGATGGTGTACAGATACACTGTGAGTAGTAAGACCACACCCACTGTGGCTAGAGGGAGCCGTGTCTTCTAGGAAAGAGTTCCTGGACTCTACCTCTGGGCCACTGCCGAGGATCCTCAACTTACATAATACACTTAAAAACACAAATGTTGGGGTTTTTCTCTAAACCTACCAAAGTAGAATTTCTTAGACTATGGTTAGGTTAAGTGTAGTTTGAAAACTTTCCACCAGAGAATCTGGTAAGCAGGGCTTGAGAACCCTTGCCTAGAATAGTTTTCCATGCCAGATTCTAGTAATTACAGTAGGAATGTCACTTCCTTCTAGTTCCCTTCCAGTAACCTAAAATGCTTTTGAGTTAAACACAGCTTTTTTCCAATGCACCCGAGTCTCCTTCTGAAGAATTAAATGTCCTGATGTTTAATCCCGATATCTCTTTGACATTTTGATTTAAAGGAACACTTAGTTTATACCCTATCATTATTTAGGCAGAAGCATCCTGACTCATCACATAATCCACAGTGCTCTTGTGATTGGCTTTCTGCTCTGTCCCACTTGCTTCTGTGACAAACACATACACTGAGCTTGAGACTACCTGCCGCCAGCATGTGAGAACGAGTGAGCACTAGCCATTGAACCAAATGTTTTGTGCTTTCAGGAGATATCCTTGGTCCTTCCATCAATGGCTTGGCCTCCTTGATACGGATGCCTTATGGTTGCGGTGAACAGAACATGATAAACTTCGCCCCAAATATTTACATTTTGGATTATCTGACGAAACAGAAGAAGCTGACTGATAATTTAAAAGAGAAGGCCCTTTCATATATGAGGCAAGGTAAGCGTTAATGCCTGCCTTTACTTGTTAAAAACTTGTTTGTATTTCTTTACAGATCAGGATCTCCCTAGGCCATGTTTGGGAATGGGTGGACGTTGTGTCTGTCCATGACTGGTGGGATGAGTGGCCGTGGGGAGGTGTCAGTTGCCTTCCTAAAGCCAAACTGATCCCTAACTGCTGCTAACTAGAAACTCCTTATAGTCACAGAACGGTGTGCATGAACGGATGCTTGCACCTCTGGAGGTGGCAGATGTGGCGCTCTGAGCCGTGGGAAGTGCTCAGCTTTGGTGCTGATCCACTCACGGCAACCCTAACACAGCTGTGTGCTGCCCGTGCCGCAGGCAGTGTTCCAAGCACTCGCCATCTGTTAGCTGAAGGGAGCTGAGACACGGGGAAGTTATTAAATAGCTTGTCCAGGGCCATGTGACAAGCTAGTGGCAAATCAGGGGTTCGGACCCAACATTTGTGTTCAGAGTCCTTGCCCTCAGCATCCGTGGCTAGAGAAGTTTCTTCTTCTTCTTTTCTTAAAGTATAATTTGTTTTTATTCTTGGGAATTCCATAGATGTATACTATGAAATATGATCATAGCATTTCACATTTCCTTCTCCAATTCCCCTAGTATCCCCCAACATGTCCTCCTGGCTTCATTTTTTTTTTTTTATTAATTCAATTTACATCTCAGTCATAGGCCCTTCTTACCTCTCTTCCCAGTCCCAATCTCCTTTCTGCATCCCCCTATTTTTGAGCATAGGAGAGACCCCTACCCAGACACCCCAGCTCATTTATTCACATGAGGACGGAGTTCATCTTCCTCCCCTGTGGCCTGGTAGGGCCGTCCCACCAAGAGGAAGTGATCAGAAAGCAGGCAACATAGTCCATGTCAGAGCTACCCCCACCCCCTTTACTAGTGGGCTGACATGAAGCCTAAGATGCCCATCGGACGTATCTTTTTGGGATGTGAGCTTTGCAGTACGTCTATCCTGTACTCTATGACTAAAATCCGCTTATGAGTATATACCATGTGTGTCTGTCTGGGTCTGGGTTACCACATTCAGGATGATCTTTTCTAGTTCCATCCATTTGCCTGCAGATTTCATGATTCCCTTGTTTTTAATGGCTGAGAAGTATTCCACTGTGTAAGTGTACCACAGTTTCTTTATCCATTCTTCGGTGAGCTGTTTCTGATAATAATAACAATGTGAATTTTGAGTTTATGAAATACTGCAAAGTCAACCCCAAATAACAGTCTTAGTTTGCTTTTGCCTGAAGGCAAGCAAAGAGTATGATATACACTGTGTAGGAAACTCATGAAGATGGGAAGGATTTATACAAATGACAGGGAAGTGCTTACTAAGCACAATCTGGGAATGTGTAGTTCATGATAGTCATGTGTGTGTCTCTGTCTGTGGTTACTTTTCTCCTTCCTCTTCTGCCTTCCTCACCTTCCCCTCATCCTTCTTCTCCTCCTCTTCTTAGATGAATGGGTTCAATGCAAAGAAAAAAAGCACACCACTTGCCCTATGTCCATGTTCCCACCGATTGTCAAGCTCAAGTAATGTGACTGTTTTGATATGAACCTTCATTTTAGCATCTCTCATTATACAGAAAACTTTTTATCCCAAACTACATCTTCTGTGATAAGAGAAAGGATAGCTAATCCTGTTGAAAATCTTTATGTGTTTCATTCTCACACACACACACACAAAAAAAAAACCATGATAGGTGCACTACTATCTCCATATTATAGGTGAGGGAGTTGAGGCACAGGAAGGGTAAATAAGGCATGGAAACCTCAGGAGATGAGCTGTAGATTCCACGAACCCACAGGATGTCCAGTGTGCAGTGTTCTTGGATTTTTAGAAAGAAGCAATAGGTTAGAAAGATGAGGACCCAGAGTTGGACCAAGATACTTGAGTAGGTAGACTGTCTCAGTGGGGGTTCGGATAAGGCACTAGGGGAGAAACACAGAGTGCTGCTTGGGACAGGAACAGTAATGGTTGGAATCTGCCCGGTCAGATCACATCAGTGTGAGCTGTAAGGTACCAGTCCAGGTGCAGCAGAGCAGGACCCTAGAGTTATACAAGGAGTGAGGCAGTGAGAGGGAAGGAGAGGCAGAGGCCACCAGGCCTTGGGATCCAGGCTCACGTGAGGAGGGGATAGGGTCTAATTTTCCTCTCACCAGGAGCACAGTGATGCTGACCTTCCGGCTGGCTCTTCGACCTAGGAGCTGATAAGTCCCGACCCCGCAAGTTCTCAGAGATCTAGCAGTTGCTGCTTTTCATAGAGAGATACTGATTTAAAAATGCCATCATTTAAACCCGTTTAGAGATCATTTATCTGTTAAAGGTTTACACACAGGCACTGTTATTTTCTGAAAATTCTATTATAATTAGCTATAAGAAGGGGCCTCACGCGCTGTCTGTGGCAAAGTGGCATGTTGATCTTCACATCTTGGTTTGACAGTCATAGTAAGGAGGTGAATGAAAACAAATACAGGGGGGTGTTAAAATTTAACACTGTACCTTTTGAAAACAAGATCCCAGTTTGTCCTGAGATTTATTAGTTTATCTGGTTTCAGCTGGAAAATGAATGCAGATTACATTACCATTTATAACTTGATATGTATCCGTTGCTAATCAAATATATTTCTTTTACATTTAATGAATGTCTGCATGTGAATGTTTTGTACACACGCATGTCTGTGCATCACACGTGTGTCTTGGTGCCTGCAGAGGCCAAATGTCATCAGATCTCCTAGAACTAGAGTTACAGATGTTTGTAATTTACCAGGTGGCGTTATGAACTAAATCTGGTTTCTCTGCAAGAGCAGCAAATGCTCTTAGCTGCGGGGCTGTTGTCCCAGCCCTTTAAATTCTATTTTGGATGGCCTGAGCCACTTGAAGAGCCAGCACATCCCTTGGAGGTGACTTGGCTCATCCTGTGACGTTTTGCTCAGGGTTACCGCAGCTCAAACCCCAGCTCTTGCTTCCCCAAAGGCAGCACTGTGACACACATCAGTTTTGGCCCGGTTGTTGTCAAAGCAGTTTTTCAAAGCCAGCTGGGGATGTAGCTCATGGGTTCTGTTTTTGCCCAGCATGAGTGAGGCCCTGGGTTTGATCCCCATCCTGGAAACAAAAAGGTTTCAAGTAGCCCTCTGGGGCTGTCTCTCCTGACGCTTAGTGGTTGCTAGAAATGCACATTGACCAGATGGAGAGAAATCTTAGGTCTCCGAGGCACAGATAGTCTTCCAAGTGTACAACATGGTGACCTTTCTTGCTGTCATGGGAGAAAGGGGAGAGTAGTCATTAAGGCACCAGCCATGGGCTCTATCTTGAGTCCATTTGCTCAGCCTCTCAGAGCCTCAGTTTCCCACCTACAAAATTAAATAAAAGCTGTGCTTACATGGCTTTGAGACACTAGGAATTAGACTCCCTGTTAAGTATACAGATAGGGAGAAAGGTATGGCTAGGTAACAAAGGACAAATTTCCAAGATTCTACCTCACCGTCCTGACTTGAGGCAAAAACCTGGCTTCTTAAAACAAAGGCGTTGAAGGCTTTTGTCTCCTACCGGCAGGACGCGCCACGCAACGTCTCTGGGCCAGTCATCTATCCTATCTTTCTTCAAACCGATTAACCCTAAATTAAGAGAAAAAAAGAAAGCTTAGACGCTTAAAAATCTCCAGCCCTTGGGACTGGATCTTTCAGCTTTCTGAGTAACCCACTCTGTTCTGCAGAGGGTCTTTTTTTCTGCGTGCCTCATCCCCCATAAACAACTTTCTTCAGCTTTTGATTTCTGTCGGTGGTGTTTGAGATTTCTCTGCTGCTACCTGTCATGCTTCAGGTTTCCCCCACTATTTAATTCTTTAATTGGCAGAGGGAACAGGCCCAATCAAGAACCCCAGACTGTCATTTTGGGCACTCGTCTTGGCTTTCTTAAGATCGTACCATTGCATTGGTATGGCTTCATTTTCTGTTCTCCACTTAACATTATTTAAAACCACCTCGATCGTCATCTGTATTAATACTTCGGGTGGGTTCTCTGTCGGATCCCTTCCTCACCATATCACGTGGGCACTTCAGTGAGTGCGGAGTGGGCGCCCGGACGATCAACGTAAACTTCTTGGGCTTTTGCGTTCATCCTTTTAGCATGAGGTCAGGTCCAGGAGTGTTCTGACCCACTTCCACAGCGCACTGACCGTTCTACCCAGCCCCGGCCCATTCTTAACAGCTAGGAAGTGCGATCCGTGTTTCTGGCTTGCCCAACCAGATTCCATCTGAAGGAGAAGGTGAATGTTTCCTGACGTCACTCTTCAGTGTCACATCAGCGTCTCATGTCAGAGACTGCCTTTTCTAAGTCTTGTTAAATATAGTGTAGTTTTTGTTTTTAAAGACATTAGTGTAGCTTTGGTGTGAGTTGTGATTATTTAAATGTCACGTAGGAAGAGCGCAGTGTCTTACTTAAGTCTTGGTGGCCCAGGTGTCCCGTAACCAATAGCTCCATCACTGAATGAAATACATTTTTTTTTTCTGTCAAGAAAAGAACTGTAAAAAGAAAGCATTTCTGACAATTACTGGAAATCCTGATAATTGAAGGGTTAAACTGCTGATTTCCTTCAGACATTTAGATATTTTTTTTTAGCATGTTATCCAGAAATTCAGTTTTATTTTATTTTTCTGAGTTAGAGTCCATGTCAGAGATAGCCCCTGCGCCCCTTACTAGGTGATCCACAAGGACACTGAGCTGCCTATTGGCTACATCTGAGCAGGGAGCCTGGGTCCTCTCCATGCATGGTGCTTGGTTGGTGCATCAGTCTCCACCAGACCCCTGGGCCCAGATTTGTTGGCTCTGTTCTTCTTGTGGAGCTCCTGTCCTCTCTGGGTCCTTCTATCCCCAACTCTTCCAAAAGGCTCCCTGCACTCTGCCCAAAGCAGAGTGTGAGTCTCAGCCTCTGCTTTGATCCTCTGCTGGGTGGAGTTTTTTAGAGGTCATCTATGGAAGGTTCCTGTCCTCTTCCATCTTTTCAGCCATGCCCGGTATTTTTTCTATTTGTCCTTCTGAATGAGAATGAAGCATCCTCCCTAGGGTCCTCTATGTGACTTAGCTTCGTTAGGTCTGTGGGTTGTAGTATGGTTATCCTGTATGGCTGATATCTGCTTATAAGTGAGTCTGTACTGGGTCTGGGTTACCTCACTCAGGATGGACATTTAGAGCTTTTTAAAATTACATTTTATTTATTTGTATTTTGTGTATGTAGGTGTGGTAGCATATGTGTATAGAGGTCATAGGACAACTTTTGGGACCTGATTCTGGTCTTTCCCATGTAGATACCTACATGGGAATTGAACTCAGGTCTTCAGGCTTGGCAGCCAGTGCCCTTATCTGTTTAATCATCTGGATGATTCTTTTCTTTACACATTTAAATTACAATGCCTGAAGTTTCTTTTCCATGTGAGAATCAGACTGAGTCTAGTTGAGGATATGTTTTCCTCTGTCAACACAGTCTCCACCTTCTCTTAGAACTGAACCCTGGGAAGGTGCTGTACTGCTGAGCTATATCCCCAGCTCTGCTTTTCTGTTCTGTTTTGTTTGTTTTGGTTTTTGTTTCTGTAAGCAGTACTTTCATCTTTAATTTGATGAACTGTGACTACTTTACGTTCACAGTTAGTTCAGAGAACTAACTCATGACCCAGAAAAGTTTGCATCTTATCTGGATTGTAAATGGCAGTTTATTGGTTGTTATGCCAACAGGTTCATGACTTCTGCATTTTAATTTTCAGAGATGTCTGATAATTCTGACTATATTATTATTTTACAAACCAGAGAGCCATATGTATAACATTGAGCTTGAAAGTGATGTTCTTATTTCTTTGTAAACTTTTGAAGAAAACCAAGCTTTTGACTGGCTTATCTATCATGATGAAAAATCTCCAACTTAGGTAACTACAGAAGAATGAAGATTGTTTATGCTAACAATAAACGTCACTGCCGTGCCATCAGTATCCTTTTCTACTAATTGAGTAGAAATTAGGCCTGAAGTGGGCAGGAGCTTGGAGGACAAGCAGCCAAAGGTTCTCTAAGCATTCATGGTCAGCATAGAATGAGAAAGGGGGTCTCAACAGAGATTCCCACAGAGAGTCAAACCAGCTCTTATCCCAGGCTCCTCTTCTTTCCTTTTTTGTTCCCCGGGAGCAGAGCTGGAGGTCTGGGGTCTGTTTTACTAATCCACTTTGACATGGACTAATACATGTTAGTAACACAGCTAAAGGTGCTGCAGGAAAACCTCCAGTTTTCCTCTGGATCGGCTGCCCTCAGTGAAGGAATGAGGCTAGTTTTTTTCACTGATGGGTGATGTTGGAGGACATCTGCCTAGGTAGTTTCCATAAATGCTAACCTCATGCCTTTATCTCAGCTCTGACCCATTTTATAGTATCTTATTAAAAAAGCTAATAATGACATCACATCTTAGGGTTATTAGACTCACCCATGTTAATACTGATAAGGAGCTCTCACAGTTCTTCGTACATAATGAATACAAAACCAAGATTGCTATTGAACTACTCAACAGTAATGTTTTAGGTATAAACATAAAGATTATAATCCAATGTTCCCTTCTTAAAAAAAAATATATATATATATTCTTTTTACTATCAGTCTCAAATATCACTCTGAAAAACAGTGTTCTGTCTTATACATTAATCCAGAAGCTCTCAGATGCAGGGTTTCTAGTGGAAAAGCCAAAGGAAAAAAGCTCGGGTCTTCCCAGAAGAGGTAGAGTGTTCAGTGAGTCCCACGAGCTTGTCACACGATTTTAAACATGGGACTTGGAACTCTTTGCATGGCTTTGCAAAAATGAATCAATTTCTCTTTGTTTGGGAATCATTTATTTGCAAGTATGTAGCTTCTGTTTTCATTAAAGCAAATTCATTAACTTCACCCTAATATACTTTTTTGTGTGTTATGTATTTGTGTACATATGCTGTATACGCGGGCACACGTATTCACATGTGGAGTCCCTAGGCTGACCTCAGGTGTCTTTCTTAGTTATATCTCCACCTTGTATCTTTTTGAGACTGGGTTTCTCACTGAGCCAGAAGCTTGCTGACTGACCAGCAAATCCCAGGTGTCCGCACCCCCATTCCTGGAGTTACAGGTGTATGCATCTAATCCCAGGTGTTCTCCAGTGTCCGCACCCCCACTCCTGGAGTTACAGGTGTATGCATCCCTCTGTGCTCAGCTTTCTGGGTAGGTGATTGGGGTCTGAACTCGGGTCATCATGCTTGTGTGGAGCACTTTATGACTGAACTGTCTCCACAGCACCCCTAATTTACTTACGTAGTAATATGTCATCTGTGTGCTTGTGTGTGTGCTTGTGTGTAAGTTTGAAGTGTGGAACTGATATCAAAGCAGACCAGTTGGTTTTATTGTTTGGCCTTAAACTGTAGTTATGATAAAGATGGGCAGTGTTTTCCTGAGATAGCAGACAGTCTTAGATAGCTAAGCATCGAGACCCTTCCGTTGAATTCTAGGAGTAAGTGAGGCTCGGCCTTGGCTTTGCCTGCCTCCAGATGAGCAGAAGTGTCTTTGCTATCACTTCTCATTTTCCCTGTCAGCCAATGTCACCCACACGAAGGCATAGCAGGTGGACTGATTACACATGGATTTTTGTGTCTTCAGGTTACCAAAGGGAGCTTCTCTATCAGAGGGAAGATGGCTCCTTCAGTGCCTTCGGGAATAGCGACCCTTCTGGGAGCACTTGGTGAGTGATTTCTTTTCTAATTGAACAATTTTGTACCATGGGACAAGTGTTTATTAGGCTACAGTGGCTGTGGGGCTGCCAGACATTTCTTATCTGTGTGGACACTGCAGCTGCGAGACACAAAGCATGCCTTTCATAGAGGGCATCTCATAAACAACAACAACAACAAAAACAGTTCTAAAGCATTTGCAAATCAAGTGCTTTCTATTTAGAAAAGGAAAAAAAATACAACCCCTCTTTTCTTTTTGAGGGGAAAGCTACAACAAATATCCTTTAAGATGGCGGTACAGATGACAAGAAGAAAAATGCTACTGTGACATCGTTCTTGCCATAATCTGATTTATTAGTACAAGAGCTTTATTAAAACAGTATGTGTGATTTCTTTAAGGACATGTTTCTTGAAAAGTAAACAATAACGAGATTGAATAATGAATATGCAGTGTCCTCCTGCATGGAGTCCCCATGGTTGATTTGGGACAGTTAACCTCATCCCTTGTTCTGCTCCCCTTCAGGACTCAGGGAGATCTCCTCTGGCTGCCTACAGTGGAGCGTTAGCTACTGAGTGTGTTCACAATGCTCAGCTCTGATGAGACATAGCGCTTTGGATTGTCTCTGTCAGGAGTCAGGGTGTCAGTCTGCAAATAGGTTTCTATTCTTTGTTCTTCACTACTGTTCTTCCTGGGCGTAGTGGCTCATGCATGTAATCCCAACACTTTGGATGTGGAGCTAGGAGGCCTGAGGCCAGCTTGGGTTGCATACTGAGACCCTGTCTTACCTTTATACCTCTCCCCACAAATGTATCATGGTTCTCTGAAGTGTAACCCAGTAAATAAATACTAGACATTTTTGCCATGAGAGAGGTTCTTGTTGTATAATCTCTTCCCTTTCGCTTTCCACTTTTCTTTCTTTTCCTTAATATCTATCTATCTATCTATCTATCTATCTATCTATCTATCTATCTATCTATCTTTCTTCTCTCTTCGCTTATTTTTCTTCCTTATCTTTATTCTTTTTTTCCCTCTTTTTACAAACCATTCCTAGGGCTGGGGAGAAGGTACGCTTAGCACAGCACCTGCCATGCAAGCATGAGAACTGAGTTTGTAATCCATAGTCCATGTAAAAAGTGAGCATGGTGACATGTGCCTGTTACCCCAGGCTTTGGGTAGGAGGGCTTGTGACACAAGCAGGTCTCTGATGTTCATTGGCCATCCAGCTTGGCACACCTGGTAAACTACAGGCTCAGTGAGATATACTGTCTCAAAAAATAAAGGTAAGAGCGAAAGAAAAAAGCTGAGGAGACATACAACATTTACCTTGGGCTTCTACACAGGTACATACATGCCCCACACATACACACATGAACGTGCAAACACACACACAAGTACACACAAGTTCACACACACACACACACACACACACACACACACACACACACACATACATCCCTTTCCTAGATTTTGGTGGGTGGGTCATCAAGCAGTGTTGACCTTAAGGCTACAGTTATATAGGACTGAAAACTACTCATTTCTATCATCTAAGTACTGAACTTTGCTTGTAAACTCCAGATGCTTATACAAAGCTGTGGGCTGACATGTGTGAAGGTTGTGTTGGTGTTTTTTTTTTTTTTTTTTTTGTTTTTTTTATTTATTTTTTTTTGTTTTTTTTTTTTTGGTGCATTCCAAGAACAGTTAGAGGTGTGTACCACTGGGCAGTTTAACCATTATGGAAGGTTGGATTTTCAACTTGTAAGATACTGGGACAATATTATTTCTGTTTTGGATTTATTTGTTTCCTCCTTAGAATTGGAACCAGGGATGGCTGTGAGCCATCATGTGAGTGCTGGGATTTGAACTTGGGTCCTCTGCAAACGTCACCTCTCCAGCCCTATAAGATTATTTCTAAGTAACAATTATATGATTCCTTAGTTCATTTGCAAACGTGACATTTTGTGAATTGATCTTCATTCCTTAGCCAAACTCTAGGAGAACCAGGTTCACCAGCTAAGACAAGTTTTACATGTAGTTTTTTTTTTGCTGTCTTCCCTTTTGTTTTACGCCTGGGGAATTTTCTGAGGGGGAAACCGTGTTTTGTTTCACGTGCTCAGCGTGAGCCCCGAGACTTACATGGATATGTGCTTTTTTCCTTTCTTTTTTTCCAAGGCTGTCAGCATTTGTTTTAAAGTGTTTTCTGGAAGCTGATTCCTATATCGATATTGATCAGAATGTGTTACAAAGAACATATGCTTGGCTCAAAGCACATCAGAAATCCAATGGTGAATTCTGGGAGCCAGGACGAGTGATCCACAGTGAACTTCAAGGTGGCAATCAAAGCCCAGTGACACTTACAGCCTACATTGTGACTTCTTTCCTGGGCTACAGAAGGTATCAGGTACTGCTTTTTTGTTGTTGTTTTGTTTTTTTTCTTCTTCAGAAAATAGAAGGAAAGTGGGTCTTGATGGGTCAAATACAGAAAGTACATAGTTTTACGTTGTATTTGAAATCTGCACTTGGATAGCCCTGGGCTTTGCATTTGGGACATTTGGGAACAAGTTCCAAAATTTGAAGAAAAATAATAACTCACTCTTATGGGACTCTGCAAGACTTTTTAACATATGTGTTGTGCTTTTTACTGGGAACGGAAGTCAGTAATGTTTCATTGTTAGGAGGAAGCATGTACTTTAAAGTTTGGGACTGTGTCCTAGTAAGTCGAGGTGAAATTTTTTGTTTTTTTTTTTTTAAACTTTGCTAAGGATTGAGCTCAGGGTGTGGCTTATAAGAGGAAAGCACCCTGCTAATTTATGTCCTCAGTCATTTTGAAGGGTTTTGTTTGTTTGTTTTTAAGATCTTTAATCTTTTAGGGAGGAATTGCGGTGTCCATTAATTTAGTGAATACTACTTACCTCTGAACTCCTGTGGAAGGGGGTGTGGGTGTGTGGATGAGAATGGATACGTGTGGAGAGGTAAAATGGTCTTAATGTTGCCATAGAGCTCTCTGGCTGTTTGATGCCTTATTGTTTATTGAACCCTATTTCTCAACATCAGTAGCCATTCTCTTTATTAAACTCTATTTTCTCAGGTTAGTGGTAGGCCTGTGCAAGGCAACTGTTTTTTTTTTCTCAGTTTAAAGATTCAATTCCTAGGGTTATGTATGAAGTATATTTCTGATGCTTTATTTTCTTTTGCCACTTGGACTTAAAACACTCAGCAGGATAAGATGTTACACGAGTTATTATTATTACTATTTTACTTTTTTTAAAAGAATAGTGTCTATTTAGTTATAGCAACTGAGCATACTGTTATTTTCAGATCACATAGCAGATACTTCAGTGTCAATGAACATTGTTGATTCCCATTGCCTACACTGAGGTCAGACACTTAACAGGTCTGAAATAATTTTTTTTTGAGTGGATGTTTCAATGTGCTTTTCATTTACATGTGGAGAAGTAATGAAATATGTATGTTTTTTTTTCTTCTAAGCCTAATGTCAATGTACAAGACTCTGTCAAGTTTTTGGAGTCTGAACTCAGCAGAGGAATTTCGGACAATTATACCTTAGCGCTTGTAACCTATGCCCTGTCTTCAGTGGGGAGTCCTAAAGCAGAGGATGCTTTGCGTATGCTGACTCAGCAGGCAGAAAAGGAAGGTAATGCCTGGGACCCTCCTGAGGCGGATAGAATGTTGGGCTTCCTGGAATCGATGTGAAAAAAGCTTGTACCCTAAGTATGACGTTGATAACATTTGCATGGAGAGGATGAGATGAAAAATGCTGAGCAGAACAAGACCAGCATGGGATCTGCATGTTATATCGCTCTTTGCCTCCCTAGGACTTGGGGCATTTTATGTATTTATGTATTTGTATATGTATGTATGCATGTATGTAGCCATCCATGTACATGCAGTGCCCACAGCGGCCAGTAGAGGGCAGCGTATCCCGTGGACCTGGAGTAACAGTTGGTTCTGAGCTGGCAGAAACCAGGAGCTCTGGAAGAGCAGCCTGTGCTCCTAACCACTGAGTCAGTTCCCCAGCCTGGCACCATCTTTTAGATAGGTTCTCCCTTGAATTTCCCCTTTGAGTTAGTCACTTTGGAGTTTCTGGCCTTGCAGCACAGGCGTTACTTCTCCAAGAGACCCTATCACGTAGTCAGAGAGCAAAGCGTGTCTTAGGGTGAGTTGGTACGGGTGAGTAACTTCAGATAGTGTCTGCAGATGCAAAGTTCCGTTCATTCAGAAAGGGATGGCGTGGGGCTGGGGAGGTGACCTGGCAGTTATGCACAGTTGCTGCTTGGGTATGGCGACTGCAGTTTCGATCTCAGCACCCAAGTGGCTCACAAAGACCCCAGCTCTGAGGGAGCTAGTGCTCTTCTCTGGCTTCCATGGGGAACACAGACAGACAGACAGACACACACACACACACACACACACACACACACACACACACACACACA